ACTTTTTCGCATTTGTTCGATTTTCTGGGAGAATGCGTGTTAAATGTCGTTAGTTCGAAGAACATGATGTGAAAAAAATGTCCGGACGTGTTGGAGCGCTTCCAGAACTGCTCAGAAGCGCGTTTGGTTTTCGTTATAGAGGTCCGAGACAGTGTCGCCTACATTCTCCGGAGGAACCACTGAGAAGACGGATTCCAAGCGTGACAACTCCGGGTAGATTGCTTTGATCCCAGATAAATTTGGTTCATCATCATCAAAAAAACGCTTCATATAAAAACTCTTCATTTACTGGAAATAAAACATAGACCAATGGATAAAACAAAACAGGAGATTCAAGCTATAGCTGATTCACGGCTGGCTTGAGCCATCGAAAACGGGTCCTGACACGATAATACACGAGATAGCGCCTGGCTCGTGGAGAGCGCAGACAAGACACGCCCCTTAGCATCCCAAGCTAGCCGTGAATCAGCTATACACGCGCGAAAAAAAAACCCACGAAACAAGGAACTGGGGAAAAACATGAAGTCAGGATTCCATACGGACCAGCTACGCTTAATAAAATATCAATGAGGAAACAAAGCCTGGATCACCTGAAACTGGAACATATAGATAACTTTTTCTGAAAGACCTGACGTTTCGTTGAAAAAATTTAAATTCCACCGATTGGAGGCTTTTTATGCCTAAAAACATCAAAATTTTACAGATTATTCTCAATGATCATTAAAAAAATTAGCAGACAAATAATTAAACGTGAAAAAATTGGAAATGAATGGTTATGTAATGGCCGAAAAGTTTCTTTCACTTAATGATTTAGATACCTTGAAAAAAAAAGACGCATCGCGTGAAAGTCATTCAGCATTTCAGATATCGCCGGCTGTGCCAACAAGTTTGTTTCATTTTATTCATTTCAAGAAAGCTGTGTTACATGACATCAAACTAGAGTAATATTCATGAAACCTCATTATTTTTTTAGCTTCAAGACAATTTTTTTCTCCTAAATTGAAAAATTTTTCATGTTGTTTTTGCAGAGTTCAGCAAGATTCTGAAAGAAAAAAAAATTTTTTTGAAATTAGTTCAATTTTGTTTTTCGTTATTAGTGACTCAGACAAAAAAATTCCCAGTAGCTGTTCTGACAAAAAAAGTTCATTTTTTTCCGTAGGTTTTGGAATTTTTCTATAAATTTGTTCAAAAAAATCTACGATGGACTTAAAATCAACACCCCCTCCCCCATAGTCTCTATTTGCGCAAATTTCTAGTTTTGGCGATATGATTTTCCAAAGTTTTGAACCTTGAACGGATTCCGTTATATCTCAAACCGCTACTTCCTGACATCAATTTATGTCATCCTTCACACGGGCGAAAACCCCCTAGGAGGCGGAAAAAAAAGGTGAAAAAAGGAGATTTCTAGAAACTTTTGGAACCTTTTTAGGAACTCAAAAAGGAGCTTTAGACTCTTCTTGACCTTTTTGAGGTCTCTTGGGCTTTGCCTGGGTAGAACAAAAAAATACGAGAAATCAAACTGTTTGCTTATATATTTGTTTTATTCACGAGAAAAAGTTAAAGAATAGGGGGAGCCTGAATTGTGCCTTCGCAATAGAGACTGGAAAAATTCACACGTCGTATTTACCAGAATTATAGTATTGCTACGTGAGCCAAACGCTGGTTCAAGATGACGGCATAGGGATGACGTCTCGGAGAAGCGGTTTGACTGGAAGTTCCTTGAACACATGAGACCGTTCGGAAAGACTGTGTCCGCCAAAAAAATTAGCGGCAAAAAGACTCGAACCTTCGTCATAAAAATTCTAATTGTGGGATAAAGAGTAAATTCGACATTCTTCTGGATCTTTTTCTGGATCTCACTTCCCTGAAGTGGCTGCTTCAAATATTTAAAGATGATACCAGAAATATCTATCATTATCAGATTCATAGCCTTTCTTATTGAAAACCTTCTCGCAAGATATCTTAAATCTTAACAGGAAACTTGTAGATTTTCCAAGCTTCCTTCTATTTCTATCGATCTTCTTCTGAATCACGTACTCTCAAGTTTTTTTTCAGGCATAGTCTGGAAGTCTCACCGTTCCCCAGCGAACGAAAGCGATCAGAGCGAAGCTCAAAGCGAAGGTTTTTCTTCTGATAATAGCATGTTCAATCCAAACAAAAACTCTTCGAACCAATACGGAACTTTCAGTCTGATCATGGTGGTTAACCTTAAAGTTTAGAAATATTTATCAAACAGAGATCTATGTTCAGAAGCAGTTAGGTACGTAGGCCTGAAAGTCGCTAGGAATTCATTCATTACGACACTATCTGATGACAAAGGTTTTATAAAAAGATTATGATAAGGAAGAAAAAAACTTAGTATCAAAAAAAGACTAATTAAAAACCATTTTTTTGAGCTATTACAATGAAAAAAACTCGAACTGAATTTTTTTCGAATTCGATTTTTTTCAATAAAAAAATAATTATATTAGTCCGTATGGACAACCCAACACGCGACGAAGGTCGCCAGCAAGACCAAGGAAGGCCTCCACCAGAACAGGACGCCCAAGACCCGGTAGGTTTTCGCCTTAATTGCAATATTTCAGGGATTTTCAGTTAAGGCTCTCAGCCATATGAAAACAATGTTTCAATGAAAAACAGAAAGAAATATTGGCTTTTTCTGATAACGGTCATTTGCAGAAAATTCAAATGATTGAAAAGTCCGATGTTTGTTGCTCTAATAACTATTTGAAAAACAGAACGTCCAGATTATTATTAAAAAATAAAACGTGAACCGTCGTTTCATCATTTTCGTGATGAAAACATGCTCCTAGGTCCTTTTCAGATTGATGTTTCGAATGTTTCTTGTGTCTCTCGGAATTTGATATTTTTGAACCCTGTCATTTTGAGTAAGACCTTTTTTGACGAATTTATCCTCAACAAAACTCTCAAGAGAACACAGTATTTGTGATGTCGGATGTTTTTTGGTAGATAACCGAGAAAATTAAAGATACTGAAGAAACTCTGAAGTTTTCTAGAAGCGATGCAAGAAAGAGTTATGGAAACTAGAGAGCCTACTTTCTCAGGAACCTCAAAAGAGGGCACGAAGAGGTCCTTCGAAAATCACCAAATTCAAAAATTCAACTGTAAAAAAAACTCATTTGCTTTTACAGCCACCGCCGACGCACTCCCTGCGCCTTTCACCGCAGCAGGTCGAAGACGTAAGTTTTTCCGACTCGGCTTCAATATTTCTTAAAGGAGCTTACTCGGAGCAGTCCCGGAATTTTTTAAGAAGAAACAAGAGCCAACGCTTGAAAAAGTCTAATTTTTTCGTCTCTAGAGGATCTCAGTACGGCTTTTTGGACGTTATACGGTGTTCACAGGGATTTCCGCAAAATTCAAAATCTTCCATGACTTTTAAAAACTTTTTTATCAAATTTTTGGGCGGTTTTTTTGAATTTCGAGGAGCAGGACTAGTCTAACGACACACACGTTTGAAAATGCGAGGTATAGAGATATTTTGAGAATTATCAAAACTTTTCTGGGAATTCTAAACAGTGACCAAAAAGAAAGATTATCACATTTATATTGTTGACTTGTCGATTACATCTAAAAAGATCATTCATAACTAAAAAATATTGATTAATATTGATTGATTTTTCTATCTTGTCTCCATTATAGCTGGCCGAGTTCCTCGAATGGAACCAGTTGTTGCGGGGCCGGGAAACGGCCAGTTACGAGGTTGCGGTCCGCAGGGATCGTCGGGGAGCAGCTGTAAGTTCTTCGAAAAAATCGAAATCTTTTCTCAACCATCCCTGTTCAAAAACCATCCAAATAAGAAGTCTTCTTGCAATTTTTTGTCTTCAGAAAACCCTTTAATGCTCAAACGGTCGTAAATTGAACCAAATGAGGGATAGCGAAATCCGACATACGAGATCAACTTTAGCCGTAAAGTTTCTGTAATCCTCAACGGTTTTTTGAATAAACCGGAAACCCAGAAAATAAACAGATTTAGTATCGATTGATTTCTTATCGAGCCCCCAAAGATCGAAAGGAGCTTGAAAGAACTCGTTCAGAACCTAGCATGAAAAAAAATGTCAATCAAATCAGAGGTTATTTCAAAAACTTACGTACTGTAAGAGTCCTGCAACTTTCACACCTAATAGGACAGAGTGGGATTTTGTGAAGAAAAAAAGGAAAATTTCTATTTTACAGCGCCTTGAGCTGACGTTGGTCGGCGCCGCCACGACCCCACAGGTTGGTGTTTTTTTGATTTCAGAAACATTTCAAACCGAAATGTTCAATTAATAACTATCTCTATGACCAGAAAATTCAATAAGAACGTCTCAGAAACAAATTGAAGTATGAATAAAATGGTTTCCGACATAATAGTCAAGTAAAGTGCGCTTAGTTCAAAAAAAGATCGTATCTTGAATTTCTTTGAGAACAACAAAAGGCCTCGGTCTTTTTGCAAGGCTCCAGGTTTCCAACAACTTTCATCTTTTCAAAAAACTGATTAAGGCAGAAATCAGTGTTTCCTTTTCTATAGGACCGAAAAAATTTGAGAAGATCCTTTTGGACCTTTTTCCACTTGGAACATCCGCTGCGTCTATTTTTTTTTTACATGAAAACAGACTTAACGAAATTAGGATCTATTTTTCTCGATTTGATCGATCCAAGTCTCAGATGAATGGAATAATTCAGAGGGGCAGGAAAAAATCAAGATTTCGAATGCTATTGAGAGGATTGAGGCACAAGAATCATGTCGATTTTATCTTTTTGATAACGATTTTACAGAGGAATGAAGAAGAGGGTACCGTGAGGTCCCGAGAAGAACAAGAAGGTTGTGGGGTCGGGGCACCGATCAATCCGGTTAGTTTTCTGGCGCTCTTTCAACATTTTCGAATTCAAGATACTCTTACTTTTCGGGTTCTCCATGGGTAGAAGAGAAAAAGAAACCCTCAGAAAAATGTGAACAGGGAAACAGAAATCGGAAGACATTTTCATGCCTTTACTGAAAAATTTGATTAAGATCGACAGTGGGGAGGTCGTCCCAAGCGCGCCCTCCGTCTCCAACAAGGTTGGGGAGAGGGTAGAAGAGAAGGAAGGAAAGAAGGAAGAAGAATTGAAGGACAAAAATGAGGAAGAAAAGGAGAAAACCGGAGAAGAAGCTCAGCCCCCCGAGGTCCGTTTTTTTTTTAAAGTTAACTAGACAGCTTGAAATTGAAAGCTTTTGAGGTAGTGAAATCTTTACTAACTTTGCTCGAACAGTATTAAGTTTTCCGATTCCAATAAGTATTTTTCTGGACGAGTTCATTTTCTCAAGAACAATGCAAATCGACGTTTTCTATCCTCTCCTGTTTTTCAGATTCTGTTGAACACTCATAAATAACACGAAATTCTGCCATTCCTAGCATACCTTTCTGGTTTCATTCGCCAAGAAAAGAAATTGATACTTTTGAGCTTGATTGAACAACATAGAACCGATATAGGTTGAGTAGGACCAAAAATACCGTTTTTAAGATGCTTCGGCTGTCAAGACTTTTTCAATAGAAACAGGGCTCTTGTGTGTCCTTTTTCCATTTCTACATGATGAAAAAAGTTAGAAAGCTACGAGATTCGAACGCTAAAAATAGGGACAATATAGCGCTGACCAAAATTGAGTTTTCTGTCCAGATTTCCAACAAAACGGAAGTAAAAATGAAATTTACAGCCGTCCACGAGCCCACGTTTCGGTATCACGGCGCGCAAACGGAGATTGGGAGAGAGCCGCTCCGCGCAGCCACCGAAAGTCAGTTTGGGAAAAAAAAAATAGACACTTAAAAAGCAAATCAGAGCTTCTCATGATTTTTGTAACCATCTTGACCAGAAATTCATCAAACCTAATTGTCAGAAGGAAGATGTTAGAAGAATTCAATTTTTCAAAGCGTTTCGAAGATGCTAGAAAAAACAGTGGAGAGAAAAATTCGGGTTCTTTTTATTCAGAAGAGTGCAAGAATAAGTGAATTCTCGCAGTTGTTACTCAAAAATTTTTATAATGAAATTGCAAAAAAATATAAAATAATGAATAAAATTCAGCGCGCGCTCAGTGGACCCGGGGGGTCAGCGGAGAAGAGGAAAGGAGAAGGCTCGGAAGGCCCGGAAAGGAAAAGTCGTCGCCCAGACGCCGTCGACGTTGGTTTTTATTCTTTCGAAGAGTTTAATCGAACATCTTGATAAAATCTATAAAAGATCATTTACTGAAAAGAATATATCGCTACAGGGTTCAAAAAAACTTCATTGAAAGTTTGAAGAGAACTCTGGGTTAATTTAAGGGGGCAAACGAAAAATTTTTATTTTGATTGAAAAAATTTTGGAAAACGATCGAAGAACAAGGCAAAGCTGGGCAATCCTGCGATTATTGGATTCCGTTTCTGAACGGTTTGTTTCAGGCCGAAAGGCTCGATGAAGAACCCGTGAATGAGATGAGAACGGACCAGGATGATGAGGAAAGAGGCCAAAACCTGCGGCGAATGGAGGCGGATCTTCTCGACTTGGAGAGTCCCCCAGCTACTGTTAGTTTTCCGATTCCACATGTCGTTCATTTTCAGCGAAGCTTTCTTTGTTCATAATATATACGAGGAAATTTCGAAAAACATTATCGGAAAGCCAAAAAAAGAAGAAGAAAAGATCTCTTGAAGATAAGAACAAACTTTTCGCACATGATTATTTTGATATTCCGACTTTGGTGGATGACCTAAGACTCTGAGGATCTCAAAGATCAAATAAAATGATAACCTGTTGGACTACTGAGAAAAACAGAACTGATTCAGCGCCACTCACCCGAATCGGAAGCCAGACAGGAAGAGCCAGAAGAACAGTCGTCGGGATCGTCCTCCAGCTCTTCGTCATCGGTAATTTTCGGCTCTGCTTTCTAAATCGCATATCCATCTCACTCTGCGTGGAAGTTCAAGCTGTTCCCATCGATCCCTCGAAAAGATTCCTCTAGATATTTTTTGCCCTCTTTTCAAGCATTTCCGTCATAACCATTCCACAGAAGGTATATAACTTTGAAAATCTCAATATCCTCAATATATCAATTCAAACTGTTTGATGCGAATTAGAAAAGATGATGAGCTCAGAAATTTCGGACCTTGGAAATCGATTTTATTAACATTTGAGCTTCTGTATGAGAAATGTAATCAATCTCGAATAATTCTGTAGGTCTCAAGTTTGTCCAATAGTTCTCGTTATTTTTGATTTACGCGGTTTAAGTCGAGTTGGAAGAAACTGAGATATTTTCCTTAACTCGGAACCCTGAAAAAAAGAGTTTCCATTGTTTGAAATACGTTGCAATAAATTTGATAAGGAGAATGATCTTGGAAGATATTAATTTTTGAAGATATAACAGAATTTTCCATCACTTTTCAATGTCCTATGTAGGAAAAATACCAAGAAAGAAAAAAATCAAAACAAATTGAACTTCAAAATGGAAGAGCTTTCCGAATTTTCTTCTTCTTTTTTTGTAAATATTCATTCAAGGCGCCTTGGCCGGAAGAGCTTGAGGACGTCTACGAGCTGTTCGACCTGGAGTCGATGGAAGAGTTCGACGACGAGGTTAGTTTTCCAAATCTTCTTTTTTCGCCTTTTTGTAATAGAAGAAAATATAATTGTCTTCCTTATCAATTTTTGATTTATCTTTTTGAAAAAGAAAAAAAGATCAATAAAAAGCCAGAAGAAAAGTCAATTTCACTGGAAAAAAACTAGTTGCCAGAATCACAAACCTCTCATAACTGAAAATAGATGAATTTCGGAATTTCGATAGAGTTCCGGAATACGAACTTTGGCGAGATCTCAGTTTTTATATTCATTGAAAGAAAGAATAAACAGTTTAGTTCGATTAATGATGTCTAAAGAAGTTGTTTCAGACCGGCTCGTCCGACTCGTCGGATTCCTTCTTTCTCGGACAGCACGCGCGGGAGAGAATCGCCCTCGCCTGGGCTCGACGCAATCTCCTGGAGCTCGAAGAAGACGTTGAGGAAGGAGCCGAAGTCCGCCGTGCCGAAGACCCCGAACCCCCCGCCGCCGAAAGAGTCGCAGATGAAGTTGCCGAAGTCTTCCTTCTTGAGGTTTCTTTTCCAGTTCCTATACCACTTGTCGTTTGGTTGAAACCTCAGAAAATAGTTCAAAAAAAATTTTTTTGGTTTTTTTGTGATATTCATCTCAAGAAATAGGATAATTTGAAAAGCGAATTGGCCTAAAACTTGAAATTGAACAGAATTTCTGTTAAGCTTGCGATGAAGAAAATTCTTTTGAAACTATGAGCTTTACTTTTTGATCGAACTGGTGAATGGGTTTTATGTAGAATATTCCAGCTTTTTTGTACTTTTGAGCGTTTTAATGTGAAAAAGACGTAAAAGATGAGATTGGGGAAGAAAACAATTTTCTAAACCAGTTTTATTTAAATCTTCAACAATTTTTCTTTTTCGATTTGACTTCAGTCATTCCAATTTGTCGTGAATCGAAGATTTTTGGATCATCTTAAAAGTGAAACTTTGAAAATCTAGTTGTCGGAAAAAATAAGAGAAATTCGCGACAAGTTTGGCTTCATGTTGGAGATCTCAGGTCTTCTTGAAAGGCTTATGTTGGAATTTCAGGGCGACAATGAGCCCGAAGCCGAAGAAAGGGAAGAAGCGGTAAAGGAGGAGAAGGAAGAGGATGAGAAGGAAGATGAGAAGGAAGCCGTCGAGGACGAGGAGGCCAATGACCAGGCCGGTCCAGCAACCCAGCCCGCCGCAGCTCCTCAACAAGCTGCGGCTGGTGTTGCCGGCTCTGGTCAAGCCCGGAAACAGCCCGCCAGCCAGGTAACGAACAAAACTTAAGAAAAAAACTAATAAGAAAGTCTCCTTAACTTTTTTAAAGCTGCTGATCTCCGTCCTACTGAGCTTTCTCAGCCCTTTTTCGATGAGATTGAATTTGAGCTAAAAAAATTTTTTCGAAATGACTTGAGGCTTTGACAGACATGTATCTGTAGAGCACATTTTCAGAGCGAATTTTCGCCGCTCTTTCCGAAAAGAGCTCACAAAAATAGTTATTTTGAGTTGATAAAAAAACCACAAAATGAACTGAAATTTTTTTTCGATTACTGAAAACCCTAAGATCTTAACCTGCTCAATTGTCCTAGACTTCGTGCCTTTTTTCTTTTCAAAAGTCGGCGTTTTGCGGATTGCGATCTTATCTTATGAGCTTGTTTCAGCGTCCCAGGCGAGCCCTCGGAGTCGCTCAACGAGCCTCGAGACGGCTCATGGGCTTGGGCGTTGGCCAAGCCGTCCGCCGCGTGCCGCCAGCCCTAGCTGGTCTGTCTCCGGCCCAGCTCCTCCTCAAGATCAGAGAGGAGTTGGAGGCCAAGCTACGGGACGGTGGCTCCGGCGACGAAGAGCTGCGGAAGGTTGGCCGCCTCTCCTCGGCCAGGACATCGCTCGAAGCGATACAGAAGGGGCGCCACGTGACGGGCGTTCAGATGGCCAGGATCCTCCGCAAGATCGAAGGAGGATACTGAGTATGTTTGCCCATCAAATTCATTCCGCCAAATTCTAAATGGACCTTGATTTGCTAAGTCTTGGTCGTTTGGTGGACATCTTTCAAGACTTCAGTAGGAGTCTAGCTTACAAACTTTTTTTTTGGTCCAATCATGAAAGAACTTCTGTTTGGAACACTATTTGAGAAATTTCGCAATTCTGCGACCGAGCTTTGAAAGTTTTTTCTTTAGTTTCTGTCTGGAAAAAATCGAACTGAAAGTGTTTCTGAGCATGAAGATTGCTAAAATGTACAGGAAATGTTGCGAATTGAGCTTCAAATTGATTCATCTAAGAGAAAAAAAGTTACAAGCTATTTTTAATGAAACTAAAGAAGTTATGAAACACTTGAACTTGAAATGTTCTGAGAATGAATTTTTCTCTAATTTCTTTAATTTAAAAAAACATATTTTTATTTCTTCATTCTTTTTATTATATTAATAGAAAAAAAATAAGCTTACATCCGAATTCAGATTCAACTTTGGAGGGTAGTTATAATTGAATGCTTATTCATGGGCTGGAACTCATTTAAAAAAAAAACCGTCATCACTCGATTTTGTTTCGTAAAAATAAGTTTTTGAGGTGCCACCCGTCAAAAAAGAAGACTGACTAGAAGCTGCCTGTTGTTTATTTTTTACCTTACTCGCATTTTTTTTTTGTTAGGGAGAGTATTGTGTCCATTCTGCTTAGAGATAGGTCGGCGCAAAGCTGTTTCCACCGAGTTTTCCCTTTAGTTCTCGATTTCTTTTTTATTTCTTTTGAATTCAGTGAGACCCTTGGACTTTTTCAAACTTCAACATCTAACCTTTTTTCAAATTCTTGAGTCTTTATGCCTAAATTTCTTGTTGATCTGCCCGACGCCGATCGTGATCTTCGTTTTCTTTTTTCAATTTTTCAAGGCGGGGCCTTAAGCCATTTCTAGAATATGTAAACTTCTCGTTGTTATTTTTATTTCCGCAGCCGAAAAAGTAGGGACCGAAGACCATTTTTTCAAAGTGACGCAAATTTTTTTTCAGACTTTTTGATAGAGGAGATTTTCAAAAATCGTAACCGTTCAGTTCCTGAATAATGGTCCACTAAGAGAAAAGTTATAGCCAAAAACTAGCGCGCACGATGTTCAACTGGAAATGGAATCTGCGAACTTCTCATTAAAATTTATACCTACAGATGAAGAAAATCGTGAATTTGTCGAGTAATTTTAGTTTATGAAAAAAATATTAAGTTAGAGTCGAGTTTTGACGATTTTATTGGGCCACTAACCTACCAAAGTTTTAGAACTGCGGCTAAATTCCTAAGGTTCATAGTTAATCCACGGCTGACTGAGCCATCGAAAAAAGGGTCTTGACACGAAGTGAAACCAGACATAAGCTAGCCGTTATTCATATATACTCGCTCCCGCACGCTTCGTTTTTAAATCAGTTCGAGCATTTCTGGACCTTTTTCGAATCGGTTATCTGTTCTGAAAGGTTGTCAAAACTGAGCTTAATGTTTTGACATGAATTTTATGTACAACTTTCTCAAGAGTTTTCGATGAAGTATCAAATAAATACCTAAAAACAAGGTCAGGGGGAATTTTTCGCTCATTTTCTATCTTCTAATCGAAAGATTATTATCGTTTAACTTAGGAAAACGAAACTAAACTCGAGAGAATGCCTATTTCCAAACACAGAGAAAAATATTGATGACCATAAACGACTGTTGCAGCTTTTGAAAACGAGATACAGTAGGTGTGACGCAAACTCAAGCACGCCCAAGTCTTCCGAAAAAATTTAAAAATTGCCTACTTTTTGGGCTTCTCATCATCGTTTGAATTGTGCGCTGTCAGATTTGTCATTTTAATAGTTTTTTTGGACTTTAAAAACATATCAAGAATTAGATTTTGCTGTCCATGAAAGACATTCGAACGAAAAAAGTGATACTTGCTTATTTTTGTAAACTTCACTTCAGTGTGGTGAAGAGGCGGGGCTTCGCACTCCCTATCTTGAAGTCGTTGAAGTTCAATGATTTTCCTACAATGATGAGAATTCTATGAACTTTTTTCTTTGGATTCCTCTGGAATTCGCTATTATCTCCTGTCGAAGTGACAAACTTGATGCGACCAAAATTTGAATGCCTAAATACAAATAACCTAGACTCTCACTCTCCCCAAACCGGAAAAATTTCCTGATTTTCCCGTCTATATTTCCCATGACTCTTATGGTTTGCTACTGAAAACTCAGCAATTCACTACTTTTCTTGCGTTCGGATTTTCTTTCGGATCCTTTTCCACTATCAGTAAGTCCAATCACTCATTAATTGAAGAGTGGGGATTGAAACTTGTACTTAGAAAAGCAACGTTCAAAAAAATCTCTAGCGAGTTTAGAGCCTCAGTTATCTTTCCCATCTCGGTGAACTTATAACCGAGAAAAAAAAGAAAAAAAAAGAAAAAAAAGAGAGAAAAAGATAACTGTGGCAATAATCTCGCAAAAAAATCATAGAGCTTGGGGTTTTTTTTCTTTGGAGAAGTTTTTCTACAGACTCAGAAGAAAGTTTCCGTAATCAAAAAACAGAGCACTCAAGCCCCCTCTCCCCCCCCCCACACACACATTCCCCCGTGCTAGATTGAGAGACATGCATTACAACCCCTTTTCCGTGCGTGATGGAACGATCCTCATTCAGCTATATGTTTCCTTGAGGGAAGCCTGGCTGGGTAGAGCAAGTTTCCGAAAAACTATATTATGAAGGGAGACATGGCTTTCGAAAATCTGCACAGTCCCAATTTCTTGAGTGCTCGAAACTTTCGAATCACGATTCGTTCTTCTTGTGCCTGTAGACATTGCTTCCTCACAGAAGGAAAAACTCCCTTCTTTTCAAAAGCGGGTTTGCTAACCCATACGTTTCTTTTCGAACTATAAGTTTCGATTTTCAAACTTTTATTCATGGCTGATTGATTTACCTGATATTGGGAAAGAGTCTGGGAGAAAATCTGAATTCGAGAAGAATATTGGAAAGTTGAGTTTTCAGTAGGAAACCATAAGAGTCATGGGAAATAGAGACGGGAAAATCAGGAAATTTTTCCGGTTTGGAGAGAGAGAGAGTCTCGGTTATTTGTATTTAGGAACTCAAATTTTGGTCGCATCAAGTTTGTCACTTCGACAGGAGATAATAGCGAATTCCAGAGGAATCCAAAGAAAAAAGTTCATAGAATTCTCATCATTGTATGAAAATCATTGAACTTCAACGACTTCAAGATAGGGAGTGCGAAGCCCCGCCTCTTCACCACACTGAAGTGAAGTTTACAAAAATAAGCAAGTATCACTTTTTTCGTTCGAATGTCTTTCATGGACGGCAAAATCTAATTCTTGATATGTTTTTGAGAGTCCAAAAAAACTATCAAAATAGCAAATCTGACAGCGCAAAAATTCAACGATGATGAGAAGCCCAAAAAGTAGCCATTTTTTAAATTTTTTCGGAAGACTTCGTGCGAGTGGGCGTGCTTGAGTTTGCGTCACACCTACTGTATCTCGTTTTCAAATGCTGCAACAGCCGTTTATGGTCATCAAAATTCTTCTCTATGTGTTTGGAAATAGGCCTTCTATCGAGTTTAGTCTTATTTGCCAAAATCAAATGATGATAACTTTTTGAATAGAAGAGAGACAAATGTGCGGAAAATTCCCCCTTATCTTGTTTTTGGGTAGTTATTTGATATTTTATCGAAAACTCTTGAGAAAGTTGTACATAATGTTTATGTCAAAACATTAAGCTCAGTTCTGACAACCTTTCAGAACAGATAACCGATTCGAAAAAGGTCCAGAAATGCTCGAACTGATTTAAAAACGAAGCGTGCGGGAGCGAGTATATATGAATAACGGCTAGCTTGTGTCTGGTTTCAATTCGTGTCAAGACCCTTTTTCGATGGCTCAGTCAGCCGTGGATTAACTATGAACCTCAGGAATTTAGCCGCAATACTAAATCTTTGGTTGGTTAGTGGCCCTACAAATCCGTCGTGACTCGGCTCAAACTCAATGTTTTTTCATAAACTAAAATTACTCGACAAATTCACGATTTTCTTCATCTGTAGGTATAAATTTTAATGAGAAGTTCGCAGATTCCATTTCCAGTTGAACATCGTGCGCGCTAGTTTTTGGCTATAACTTTTCTCTTAGTGGACCATTATTCAGGAACTGAACGGTTACGATTTTTGAAAATCTCCTCTATCAAATAGTGACAAAATTATTCGAGTCATTTTGAAAAAATGGCCTGCGTTCCCTACCTTTTTTGCTTAGAAAATGAATATTCAATTGAGAAGTTTGCTTTTTCTAGATCTGGCTTGTGGTCCCAAATTTAGAACATTTTCAAAAATAAGGAAAATCACGATCGGCGTCGGGTAGATCATCAAGAATTTCTGGCATTTTTCGTTGAGAGTTAGGAAAAGCTCATGCCGTGTTCAGAGTGGTTTCCGCGAAATGTAGAATGGCCTCTGGCCCTCAAAATTTTGTTTTTTTTTTCTATATCTAACGGCTTTTTTGCGTTTCCTGGAATTACTTCGAACACGGCATTAGTTGTTAAAACTTGAAGTAGTCTGTGGGTCTCACTGGAGTTCAGAATAGACAAGGAGGAATGAGGACTTGACTGAAAGCTTGGTGAAAGAAGCTCAGTGTGGGCCTTTTTTTGGGCGGAATGGATAGAATTTTTCCCTGAGCTTGTAAGAATGCTATAAGTGTATGAATGAACAACGGGTGCCTCTTTTCGTGTTGTTTCAATCGGTCTTCTCACTGGACAAGTGGTCAGCGAGCCGTGTAAGTTTTTTTTTTTTCAATTTTTATCGAATCTGTGGAAACTTCAGGCCACTTCGATTTCCGGAACTTCGATTGCCTTCCTTCGCCATTCATTCTCATTTTCAAGGCTCAACTTGCAAGTGGACGTGTTCAGTCCGCTAAATGGTCTCTTTGTATGAAAGGCGAAATCTCAGCGAAATGGTGGAATATTGAAAAGTATGTTCCAC